GTAGACAAATTTTCATAAACCAGATTTTAACATTTAACGAGGGAAATAAAAGATTTCGCTATTTTAATAGTATATCCTAAAATGAATATTATATAAATCTTGGCATGGTATTGTTTTGTTCGCTGACCCAATTGAGGTACTCAAGTTTTGTACTCCACAATTTGAGCAACAAAAAAGTGTAATGTTTGCAAATAATATCCTTTAGTTAGTTTTAAACTAAACCAGTCAATCAATGCCACAAAAAACTATTTTATATAAGAGAAAAAATATTCAAATATGTTGACTGGTTCAATGTAAATATAGACTACATACTACTCAAGTTATCAAAATTGAAAGATGTTTTTATATACACACTCCACGCCACCACCACATACAATATGTTTATTGTTGGATAGGCCATATTGACGGTATTTTTATTTTTTCAGAAGAGGCGAGAAAAGGGGAGGGTTGAACTGGAACGGGTTCATACAATCGAAGCCGCTAACACTTTTTTCACCACTGAGGAAGTCGGTATAGAAGGCGAGTACTTCCCATTCCTGGTGGGCTACCACGCTGATGACGATTATACTCTGTTTTTGCTCGCCCTACAGCCTTTGGACAGAATAGAGTGGATTGTAGCCATAAGAGAAGGTACGCCAATTTTTCGGAAACCAATGCGAGCTCTCTTGAACAATCTTTATAAAAACGTTGTTTCTTTTCAGCTTGTGCCAACAATATAATTCTACGTTATTACTTCCACCCTGCTCCCTGGAACGGTAGGAAGTGGAATTGTTGCAAGTCCAGCACCAAATTAGCGGAGGGTTGTCGAGAGTGTGGAAATTGGCTGCCTAATAGCGTTACCGACGACAATAGCAATAAGGAAGAACTCGGAAGTAAGTAATCCTTTTTTTTTTACCTTGTTTATTAACTTGTTGATGTAAATGTGAGACCACTTCTAAGTTGATAGAGTTCAGCATAAGGCAGGTTTGCATTTTTATTGAACCCCGTTTTTTGCCAATTAACTTTGTGCTGTAAGTGTTTTTCTTTGTAATAAATATGTTTTCGTTTTGTTTTTATCTCGATTTGTTTTTTTAGGTCTTCAATTTTATTAATTTTTGGTGATTTTTTTATTTGATAAATTATATTATTATTAAATTATTATATATTATAAATAAATAAAATTTGTAGAAATTTATTTAAATTAAGAAAATATATAAATTCAATTGCTTGGTTAATGTTTCATATTTTCGCAATTTTATCACTGGGACGTGTCTAGATATTTTTTATATGTACTTATCTAATAGCATTAAAACACGGTTACCACAAAAATATCACGATATCAGATTCTTACAGTACATTAGATAAAAGTACAGATAAACGTTATCTCGCGTTGGTTGAACAGATTGAGAGCATTTGACGAGGATTTGTGACAAAAATGAAAATAAGAATAATAGGATGTGTGCGTCCAGTTTTTTGGACATCGCAAAATATATCTGGTATGCAATCACGTTTGATATTAATTTGCGCTCTATGCAACAGTTTTACTCTTGAGTTTTTTAGCCAATCGACAGTAAAAGCAACTAATTATCAACAACACCGAAAGTAATAACAAATATAAATCGGACTAAATATTATATTTTTAAATACGTATAATTAATACATATTATTTGCAAATCTAATATTAACCAAGTTTGGAATTTGATCTACGATAAGATTAAATTTTTATTTTCAAGCGCCACTTCCCTCACGATTAATTATTTACTAACGTTTGATATAAAACTAACAAATACTAAATTTTGATATAGTCCACGCCCACTATTGCTAATAGAATGTTGTGGGAAAAATGGAAACAATTGTGTTTCGCCGCGCTGAAATCAAAAAGCTAAAATATTTTGACCGTGCATCAGTCGCATCAACACTAAAGAACCCGTTGGTGGTGTGGGTATCGCATAATAACTCATATCAAGTTTTTACGGTGTTGTCATTTGTCAAAAAGGAACCTTAAGAAAGATTAAATGAATCATCACTGATTTTTGTTTTCCTCGACATTTTATTGACGTCTGAGATTAACCTAACTCTTGTTTTAGATATATATTACCGGGAAATCTGATGTGAGGGGAAAGGAGCAAATACTAACCAAAACTAACCAGAATCGAGTTACACTAAATACTAAAGAACAAAGTAAATCGAAACCCCGAACTAAATGAAAATGGTCCTAATCGTTCATCAAGACTGGCAGCCTTGCCGGCAGTAGTAGAGTAGTAGAAGTCTGCATCAACCTGTTCAAATTTTAAATATTGTGATTTATTAGCAAAGAAGAGAGAAACTAGTTCTACATTCCTTACAAACTCTAAGAATAAAAGGAAAGAAATAGGGGTCTGAGAGATAAAAACAAAGAATTTTCACGCGGGAAGCAATAATCGTACTCTTTTCTAACAATTCTGCCTTTACTCAATATCGGGGCTTTATCCAATTTTCTTACAAGTAAGAAACCAATCGATATTTCTGAAACAGACTTTATCTAAACGAAAAATGTGATTACCTCAACGCAAGAAACACGTTTAAATATATCGTCTACTAGGAATCGTTCGTCGGATGTGGTGCTCGAAAATTGATGTTATAAACATTATTGCATGACAATAATTATTTGAAATTGCGCTGGATAGGCACGAATGCCGACTTTCGCGAAAAAAAAATCTGCGCGTCACAAAGGTTTTGTTTTTAGTTGCTCTTAAATGTTAATTTTAAAATAATAATATTTAACAAAGAAAACTGATATTTCTATTCTCCATTTTTGGTGCTACCATTCGTTTTGTATAGGTAAGTTCAACTAATGCTAAAAGCAAAGTTATACGCGTACGAAACTTAAAATTTTTGTTGGATGGCAGCCGTGACCAATAGCAATAACACATAATGGTTAACAGTATTTATTTCACATTGTAACATGTTACAACGTTAGGTACAACAATTACTTAGGTACCAAATAAATTTGTCGTTTATTATCGTTGGTAAATGATATCTAAATATTCTGAAGTACAGGGTGATTCACGAACCGTACGTATGGTATAGACGTATTCATTTCTTTGTCACAGTGCCAAATCATTTCACTTTTCATCATCTGCATCAAACTGCATTTTAGCTCTTCCTTTACATTTCTGGACCGGTCAAATAAATGTTCAAATTTTCGGGACATTTTCCATTGTAATTAAAGACGAACTCCCAAATTGATCGTCATACTACGTATATTCACCTACGTCAGTTTCGTTTGGATATTTCCAGGATTTTACCGCACGGGTTTGCGAGCAATCGAATGTTTTTGGAGATATTTCCCACGTATTGTTTCATGAAAATTTACCCAAAAACTAATGGTCGTAGAAAATAGTATAGTATGCAACAAGTTCGGTAAGCTTTTTAAGTTACTCGTTTATTAAACACTCGCTCTGCTGGGCTCCGCTCGTACCAAATAAACTCGTGAATCAAATGCCGTTTACCGCACTTGTTGCATAATATACTATTATAGTGAACTAAGAACTTAACTTATAAGTTCAAAATTTGAAACATTTCATTAATTTTAATAAAGCAACATATTCCTTTAATAAACCAACTTTATTGATACTGGGGAAAAACGCAATTTTGTCCACTCTACAGAATAGGTAATTGTAAATTGCGCGCGTTCACTATTTGACGAATGGAAAAAAGAATAATATACTATATATATATATATATATATATATATATATATATATATATATATATATATATATATATATATATATATATATATGTATATATATATATATATATATATATATATATATATATATATATATATATATATATATATATATATATATAATGTTTCAAAAACGCGCCAATGCTCGGTTGCATATTTGTCGTAAAAAAGTTCATATAAGCGTAGGTCCGCAAATGCCTAATTTCCAAGATACATGTTTAGTACTGCCGTTTTACAATACGTTAAATATTGTTTGCCCGAATTTGTTGGAATTTGGCAACGTCGAATCCACAAAAAGCAGAACTTTTTAACTCTTGAGTATTTTGCATCGTTTTTATGAACATTTATTTTTTGGACCATTTGATTATAATAAACAATAAAACTACCAAGCTAACACCAAAGAAAATATTGAAAATGGTCACCATGATATGACCCCTATGATATAAGGATTTTGGACATTATGTTCCTTACGAATACACAGTACACTACTACTCTGCTACTGCTACTACTACCAACTAATTACTAGAGAAATTGCTTGCTAAATAGCTTCCTGAGATGTAAACAATTTTACCGGATTTATTATCTAGTAGCTGGTTGATGAATACGCGTTTATTAGGCCATGGTACCTAATCTTAGAACCTGTAAAAAATTAAAAAAAAAAGACAAAAATTGTTTGTTGTTTTTTGTGAAATTATTTTAGTGTAACAAGGAACTAAAGAAAAGAGATAAACTATCAAAATATGGATTGTGGACCAAACTTTTTGTTTTGCTAGTCAAATTATATTGCGTAATTTTATTGTATTTTTTTATTTATTTTATTTATTTATTGTATTTATAATACGTCATTAATGAAACAAAGCACTTTTACTCCAGAACGTATAAAGCAAACTGGTCCACTTGCCACTTAATTTACTATTAAAATAAATAAAAAATTTACATCTTTTTTTAATGCATAAAAAAATAACTGCCACTAGATAACCACCTCAATAAATCCATACGAATCGATAAATGTTAAAAGAGTTATTATTGCTGTAGCCAACATTTGAGGAACGGTTGTTGAAACCTGTTCTAACGGTCAACAAGTTGTTTCTCCTTGACTCGACAGTCTTCTTAACGCCATGTTTGATGGCAGGCGATCGTCTTTCTGCCCGCGTTAGTTACGTATGTAATGGTTTTCAGCTGTTTTCCGTGGTCGCAAAGGTCCGAAATTCATTGAAAATGCAGTTTGATGTGTTGGTAAACGTTTTCAGGAATGCCACTGGTATGTGCCAATTCATTCAGGCCAGTTAATTGAGAAAAATATGGTTGGTGATTGCGGTGAAGGTTTTTATTATTTAAGGTCATCCGCTGTAGATGCGATTAGCAACATATTTCTCAAAGGATACTTACGAGCTTCGAAATATAGCGCAGGTGTATTTAGTTCATTATTAATATCCTTATGTTTAGGAGTAACAAGACTGCAAAATAACCTAATTTATAAATTAGTAATACAAAACTAGGCCACTAAAATGACGTTTTGTTTAAATTGACCCACATTTCCATTAAAATATCAATTTTCGATAATTGCCAACCGAAATTATTTCCTTTTAAATTTCCATCTTAAAGAATGATACATTTTTTGCGAGGTGCTGTAAGTTTATAATATTTTTTTCCGGGAACGAGCGTTCAATTTATAATGTTTTCACATTATGCAATTTCTGGGTGTAGGATTATTCGCACCCGTTCGTAGTATGTCCGATTGTGGGACTATTTTCGCATCATCATGGGGGAAGTGGACATACATATTAAATCACTCAAAAAGCCACTTTAGATGATACAACAATCAGAGGTCAGTTACATTTGAATTGCGAAAGCACCTTTTTAAAAGTGCATTTTGCATACGCGATCCTAATTTGCACAAATTTTCAAAATTTGAATTTAATTTTTAATGCTTTTCTTGCCAAAAACGTAAAAATTTTGCATACATAAACGTTTGAAATTTAGCTGCCCTACTTTTATAAAAGGAAAAAAAAACATTTTGTTAGAGATTTTATCCCTTTTTTAAGAACTTATAAAAATGTAGGTATAATGAAAATGAGGAAGACTGTGTTAGTGAGTACGTAGTCTCCCTTGGAGTAGGCGTCTAATGCTGCATAATTCTGGCTGTAGGTATATTTACCGGTTTCGCAACTAGAGAGTCTCAACAGTTTCCGCAAGAAACAAAAAACCGAAGCCCAAATTCAATCGTCGAACCTATATCAACCTCGCATAAGGTACAACCTTTTTTAATTGAGAATATTTTGATGGCATAAATAGCAACGTCGAAGGCCACAAATTGTTTTTAAGAAAATAGCTGACGCCTCCTTTGGGCAAAATTTCTCAAAGGTAATCCACGAAAAATCAACGGAAAAGCGGAAATTTCCAGCTGTCGATTTTATTTTGAAAGTTAGAAAAACGGGGTTTTGAAATTAACTTGCTAGATCCATGTGACGGGAGTTACATTTTAAATACCTGCTATACATCATAAACATCAATTGCAGTTTATTTTTGTATTCATGCATATATGATTTGTTTATAGGCACTCAATCAGGTACAATTATGCCCGGGGGCACGCCGGGTACTCCGTCTGCCCGTCAAAAGGACAACAAGCCCGTCCAAAGGTCTAAGGTGGTGGTGGCATTATACAATTATAAAGCCATAGAAAGTGGAGATTTATCTTTAGAGAAAAACCAGGAGTATGAAGTTTTGGAGGATTCTCAGGAACACTGGTGGAAAGTCAAAGATTCCAAGGGGTAAGCATAGGTGTTTACACGGACTATGAAAGTGAGTTTTTTCTCTGTTGTAAGCTGTAAGTATTGTAGCTCAGAGGGTATCATTTCTAACATTACGTTTCCATTAAAAACTAAACTAAAAGTAAAATTTCAGTAATACAACAGTGCATAAAATATTCATTACATTATTACGATTATTGCCCTTTTTTACGAGAGTTAAAATTAAAATATTTTTTCTACTCGTTACTCTAAAATTGCCGATACGTTTATGAACTTCATCAAATGTATCAAAAAAATCCGATCACTTCCAAAGCTGCGGCCGAAGTTGATGTCTTAAAGTGATGCTTGATTGGTGTATATGTGAGATTTTGGGAGTACAAAAATATAATTATATTCCCTATCCCTATGCGCATAAAAGTAAAAGCTGCGGGTTTGTTAAAGTATTAAATTGAAGTCAAATTATCAATTATTTCATATTTCTACTTATCTATACATTAAAATATACATTGAAAATAACATTAAAAACCTTGATAAAACTTTGAATAAAATATACAAATATTAAAATTTTTAATATTTTGAAAGAACCTAAATCCAAGGACGACTCGAGCATTATATTTTTTTTCTCGTGATTACATTTATTGGTTTAGATGGTCCTCCATAAAATGTGGCCTTTAATTTTAGCAACGTTGGATTCATTCCGAGCAATTACGTGAAGGAAAAAGAGTTGCTAGGTCTTCAGCAATATGAGTAAGTTTGCAGCAAAATAAAATTAACCAAGCATTTAATTTTGTACAACTATTTTTAGATGGTATGTAAATGATATGTCTCGACAAAGATCAGAATCTCTGTTGAAACAAGAAGACAAGGAGGGATGTTTCGTTGTAAGAAACTCGTCTACAAAGGGACTGTACACTCTTTCATTGTACACAAAAGTGTAGGTCACATTTTGTATATGCCCGTTTTAAATACTTTTCTAAATTATTTTTCAGACCCCATCCGCATGTAAAACATTATCACATCAAACAGAATTCCCGGGGAGAATTTTTCCTGTCAGAAAAACACTGTTGTGTCTCCATTCCCGAATTAATCAATTACCATAAGCACAATAGTGGAGGACTGGCATCAAGACTGAAAACAAGTCCTTGTGATAGACCTGCACCTGCTACCGCGGGTCTTAGTCACGGTGGGTTACCTTTTATTTTTATTTTGGATGTAACAGTAAAATCATATTATCTGCATCAGATAAATGGGAAATAGATCACAGTGAACTGATGCTTCTGGAAGAACTGGGTTCTGGACAGTTTGGTGTTGTTAGGCGGGGCAAATGGAGAGGATCTATCGACGTTGCAGTGAAAATGATGAAAGAAGGTACTATGTCTGAAGATGATTTTATAGAAGAGGCCAAAGTTATGACGTAAGCTATATTTATTGTGCTATGTTATATATATTTCTTAAATTTTGGTTCATTTACTCTTAGAAAATTGCAACATACCAATCTGGTGCAGTTATATGGTGTTTGCAGTAAAAATAGACCAATTTTTATTGTGACAGAGTATATGCGACATGGTTCATTACTGAACCATTTAAGAAGGCACGAGCAGTCATTAAGTAGTAACCAAGGTCTGCTTTTGGACATGTGCATACAGGTATCAATGCGGTTTTCATTTGTCAATTTTCAAATTATGTTTAATTTTTTTTTTGTGGGAGATCAAAAGCTGAAAAAAACACTTCTAAATTAAAAAAACGAGATGAATTAATTTTATATATTTTAAATAAAAAGGACATATAAAAAAAAATTCAAAAAATTCATTGGCTAAGAAAAATCAATTTTATAACACAAACACCATTTCTTTTAGTTTATGTTTCAACGGATCTATAAACATTTTACTTTAAATCTTTATCATACAGCATGTTAAAAGTAGGAGCATTAAAGGGTTATGGTTTAAAGCTGAGAACTCCTTTGGTAAATTAAAAGAGTAGGACACTATTTGATTTGGTTATTAATCAGCGGCAAACGACATTCCAGTGATATTTGGTACACTACTTTGGGTCCTTTTCACAACTTTTCAATTTGTTCATTGGTAAGGAATATTATAATTTCGCAACATAAATATTAATTTTAAGTAAATTACCCTCTCTTGCATTTTTCTCTTGTTTCTTTCGGTTTTAGAATAAAGAATCATTATAATTGCTCATGTCGTTTTAATTGAGGTTGGTAGAGCAATAATAATTATTATTATTTTGATAAGTTATTGAGAAACTCTGAGGATCTTCGCCAGTGAAATAATTGAAAAGTTTAAAATGGATACAAAGTAAAAGAAATCAATAATAATAATTTTTTCAACACCATGTATTTCGAAAACGAAGCGACATTTCAACAGATTTTATACCACATTTTCGACTTAAAATTGGGTAAAGCATTATTCTCCTTCCTTTTGTCAGATAGGTTCAAGAACACCTTGTATTTTAAAAAAATAGATTTTCACTGCCGTGGTCAAGAGATCATGGCAGGAGCTGTAGGAAAATAATTTATAGCAATTTTTGTTATTTTTTGAAAATTAAATTCACTATATTTAACCATTTCCTAGAAAATATTGCTTTTCAATTATTTTTAGATATGCAAGGGTATGGCATACTTGGAAAGGCTCAATTACATTCATAGAGATTTGGCGGCGAGAAATTGTTTAGTTGGCACTGAAAATGTTGTAAAAGTGGCTGATTTTGGACTTGCTCGGTACGTTCTTGATGACCAGTACACATCATCCGGTGGGTCTAAATTCCCCATCAAATGGGCCCCTCCCGAAGTTTTGAATTATACTCGTTTCTCGTCCAAGTCCGATGTGTGGGCTTACGGTGTATTAATGTGGGAGGTGTTTACATGTGGCAAAATGCCTTATGGCCGTTTGAAAAATAGCGAAGTGGTAGACAGAGTTCAAAAGGGTCTAATTTTAGAGAAACCCAAAGGGTGTTACAAAGAGGTCTATGATGTAAGTATTTTTAGTTAATTCTAACCCATTTAAAATGGCCAATTTTATTTTTTGTAGGTTATGAGAAAATGTTGGGCGCATTTGCCAGAAAACCGACCATCCTTTAGGATATTGAAGGACACTCTTCTAAATGTATCTCAAGGTATCTTAGTCGATTGACTGGCCCAATTTGTATGCGACACCGTGGCCAGAGCAACGTCCCCGTCGGGAATGCCCTGTACCTCTTCTCAAACGGACGATTATGAATTGGCTTGGTTAGGTATATGCAGAACACTCTGTAGGGAGGCCCAGCACACGAAGAAATTGAAATGAGTGGTGAAGCTGAATTTGTGAAAAATAACCAAACCTTATGTATTTATTAATCAAATACATAGTTCATACTGCCAAAGTAACAAAGCAGTGTGTGATTAAATTGAAAGTCTTCTAAGTGAGGCTTTTTTACATACCTTACACTCTGTACTAGTGTATTTTCTGACAAATTAACTAGGTTTTTTTACCAAATTGTGATATTTATTTTTTAGTATCTTTATGTAATTCTTATATACCAAGTGAGACAAGAAATTGGAAACGCTGTAGCTTTAAGTTGTCCGAGACAGCGATTGCAGTAATGGCTCAATATAAGTCAAGAATGAAGTTTTTCAGCATTGTTTTCCCTTTGGGCTTAAATGCATATATTTACATTTTTTATGGTCCACTGAATTTATGCTTTTAAGTCCCTTTCATTTCTACTCAATTTGCATTTTTTGTGACCCACTGAATTTATACTTTTAAATCCTTTCAATTTATGCTATACATTTTTGAATTTTTAATATTAACACAATGCAGGGTACTAATAATATTCTCTACAAAATGCGGGTCTTTCTTAACAACAAATGGACATGAGAAACTAGAAAACAAGATTAAAATGCCCTTGATGATGATGAGCAAATTAAACGGAAGTTTAACTATTAAGTTTTTGGTGGTAGAGTGCAAACCAACTAAGATGCCCAGAGCAATCTTTGACGTCAGTGAGAAGAGAATGGATATCAAAATAAATAAGAACTAATAGTTCAGATTTTCACGAAATTATATATTTTCACATGACAATTGTTTCGACAACACCATGTCTTTATCAAATGTTTTGTGAAAATGGCAACTTTTAGTTTTTATTTATTTTGTTAAAATGGATTTTCATCAAGTAAAAGCCACCTCAGTTCAACAGAATGGATATGTTTTAGTCAGACAGATGAAAAGTATTCTACTCTCCTAAAAAGCTCTGTAGATTTGGGATAATATATTATTTTCTTCATTTTGCTTGAATATTCAGCTATTTATTCTCCATTAACATGTAATTAATATATAGTTTTATAAAAATAGGGACATTAAAAACTGCTGAGTGTTTCGCTTTTCTTGTATCACCCTTATAACAATGAATAAAATATTTTTTTTAACTTTATAATTCATTGGCCACCAAATGTTTTATAAACCACTTTTTATCTATAGCACTGCCTTTCAACAAACTTCTTATTGAAAATATTACCATAATACTGACATACTGACATCATTTACTTTGTGCGGTAACAAAATGAGTTTTCAATACAAATGTATATTAGTGTTAGTAAAGTTTTAGTGATCCGGAGGAACCTTAGTTGATTGTATAGCATAAATACATTATCTGTTGTGTTCGATGTATTGTGTTATCTTGTTACTACTAGCACTGATCTATGAAGAATAGTTATACTGAAATAAATGAGACAACAAATTTTAGTCGATTTTTGAAATCTTGTTCCACTACCGATTAAAAAGAGATATTATGCAGGGTATCCTCAGTCATAAAGGAAGATAAATAACATATTTCTGTTTTATTGCTGTATTCTAGACCCATGTTTTAGGTTAAAAACACCTTAGCTCAAAATGTACAAAGCCCGGAATGTACATAATTTGTAATGTAAGCATTTTACTTGTGATTAGATAACATTAAGAAAATGTTCAAAATTTAAAATGAATATTTCCTCATTTTCCCCTTAATATTTTTGATTGGGACTTTTACCCAATCTCCTAAGCATTGTGCAAGTCATACAATGAGGCAGAACAGCAGTAGGTTTTTGTAGCATACATTCTGGCATATTAAGTCACTCAACTTAGTATATATAAGTGCAATGACATAATATATTGTTAATATATGTTGGTATGAAGTCTTAATCTTCCTCTTCGCATGATACGAAAACGTGTTGCCTTAAAATGCGTCTCAATGTGTGCCTTGCCCAAATGTTTATTTCTATGCAATATTTGATGTTCTAAAAATCTGAAAAACAATAACTGTTGTGATAATAATAAAAACTATACAAAAATAATATATTGCCACTTTTTGTAATAAAATGAATTAACTGTTTTAGTTACTGTAAATTTCTGAATCCCATTTTTCACTCAAAATCACCCTGAACTTGTATAAATAAAATAAAACGTGTAAACTATACACCACTTTTTATTTATATGGATTGAAAAACTAGATTATCAAGACCCCTCACAGATGCTGGATTGTTTAGTTCTCCAGTTATTTTAATCGAATTAATAAGCAAGAAGGTTTGTGGAATTCTATAAACTGCAAATGAAAAAAGTTATATAGTTTCGTCAGCATCAGCTAGCACTAAACTTACAGTTTATCCTCATGTACTGCTTTCGCCTTTTTTTCTTAAAGTGTGTTTTTGTATGTGACAAAGTCTTTTCTATTACTGTTGCTTCAATTTTCGCCAAATCTTTTTGTATTAATGGGCGCCCTATTAAAGAAAACTCTGCAGCCCCAAGCACCATTATCTGAAAGTAAGAACATTAAATGACTGCTTGGAAAGAATCTATTATCTACCTTATCTAAGGAAATTTTATCACCGCAGTCTGGCGGCCAATATCCCTCGATGACAATAATATCGCCTTCTGTAATTTTGAATTGTTTTCCAGCAATGTGAACAACAGCAAAAAACTTATTTGATTCTGAACTTCCACTTTGATTAACATTTTTTATTACCCCTTAAAAATTATTATTATATTCGCATCTTTAATTTCTATTTGCAAAGAATTTACTTTCAATTAATCGTTGATCTCGATCTTCGTCGACAATCTCGTAAGGTGTGAGTACGGATGAATAAAAATGTTTACTATTTACTAAAGACATTGCATAATTTCCAATCTGGGCTATAGATTGCCTGTTGCAATGTGAATTTTTGAATGCATAATAAACTCGTCCCAACAAACTTGCCATATCTAAATTTACAATGTTTAATACAATATTACAATATTCAATAAATGTTTTTAAAAAAATGATTTTTTGATGGTTAGGTTAATTAAATCATTATTCTTTTTATTTCCGATAGGCAAAGGGCTAAAATCTTTCGCTCAAAACTGATTTTAGTGGTACTTCAACATTTGTGGTTTATCTTTTCTATGCTACGACTTCGTAAAATTGAACTGATTGACCTCTTCAATGTGTTTAGCTACTTTGTTAACTTAGGAATAAACAGCGAGCTACCCACAAGGAATATTATGACATTTGATTTTTTTGAGGAATTTTGAATCTTCTCTGATTTTTGTATTTTGTATTTTTAAAATTAAAATCGTTGCGAGAGCTACCAGAATTGCCTCCGCGAAGTACCGGTAGTTCACGATCGACAGATTGGCGACCGCTGATGTAGATAATTGTAATAATAATAATACCGATCTATGATTTGAGGTTATATTAACCTTAGTATTTCGTGATTAATCTTTTACTTCGATATGGAAAAAAGTATGTTTTACTATTTTGGAAGACTTTAACATTTAGTTTTTAAAATTCCAGAAGAAGTTGCGGCAAATCGTGACAAAAAACCTGAGAAAGTTAAAAGCGATAAAATTCAAACTACAGTATCAGAACAAAATTCAAACAAGGAAAACGAGAAACTAAAACGAAAATTAGAATGGGAAAAGAGATTAGCTGAGCAAAAATTGAAAGGCAAAACCGAAGAAACTCAAGATCTTAGCAAAACAAAATTAAAGGCAATTCGCCGGGAACGCCAAGAAGCTCAACGTCAAGCTAAAGCTGAATATAAAGGTGAGGTTAAAGGTACCAGTATGAGAATTGTGTAAACATTTTTTTTTATGTAATTTGTTTCTTAGTCCAAGAAAAACCAAAATCCAAAAGGGAAAAAACAGATTTACAAGTACAACATACAAATACTGTAACGGAAAAGCCTTTAGAGGTGAAAAAGTCAAAAGCAAAATATATTCAATTTGTTCAGCACTTGTATCGACAGTCAAGTCCAGAGTATTCAAAATTTGTAAATTACAAAGATGTCCATGCAGTTTTTGTACATTTGGGGATACAGTATGCAGAAAAAGTAATATTAGGTTCCAACGCAAGATGCTTAGCTCTTTTGTCAGCAATGAAATACTTAATTAATGATCTTCAAACACCTCCAAAACAAGAGTTTGGCAGATACCTGGAATCAGTTCTTCAACATTCTACAAATTACTTGCAAAATTGCAGACCTTTGTCGGTATCTATGACCAACGTCCTAAGGCACTTCAAGTTACAGTTGACACGTATGGATGCTAATTTGACAGACAATGCAAAGAAGGCTCATTTACAAGAAGTTATCGATCTTTACATCAATAATGATATTAAAAAAGCTTGGGATGCAATCTCTATGAAAGTAAACCAAAAAATAGTTGATGGTGATGTTATTTTGATATTTGGGTGGTATGTTTTTAAGGGAATAGTTTGATTGATAATCACTAGTGATTTTTAGCTCATCTCTAATAAGGAAAATACTTTTTGAAGCTCATAAAGATGAGAAGAAATTTTCAGTAATTATTGTTGATAGCAGGCCACTTTTAGAAGGCAGAGAAATGCTGAGAAGGCTTGTAAGCTTTGGTATTAAATGTACCTACATTTTTATTAATGCCATAAGTTATATTATGACAGGAGTTACCAAAGTGCTATTGGCGGCACATGCTTTGTTAACAAATGGATATGTTATGTCAAGAGTTGGTAAGCACATTTGAAAACAAATACATTTTTTGTTTTTTGGAGATACACTGGTACATTTTTACAATTTTATGGATACATACTTTTTGCATAAACATTTTTAAATTAAAAAAATGCTTAAATTTAAATTAAAAGTTAATAATTTCAGTGTTGATAAAGTTTAAAAATAAGAAAACTATATTCTGTTTCTAGTAAGATAATATTTTGAATTGAAATAATATGATTTTTCTTGCTTTTTGTTCTTTGAGCATTTTTTTACAGGAACTGCGCAAGTGGCTTTAGTAGCTCAGGCTTACAACAAACCAGTTTTAGTATGTTGTGAGACATACAAATTTAGTGAGATGGTACAGACACATGCTTTTATTTATAACGAAATAGGTAAGGCAGTAGCATAAAATGGACGTTAAAAGAGTAAAGAGTAATTTTTTAGATAGTTCCACATCTCTTTTTAAAGCAGGCACCCAGGCTCTTGAATCGCCTTTGGCTGCTTTAAAAGATAACCCAAAATTAAATGTACTTAACCTTTTATATGATGTCACACCACCCGACTTGGTAACTGCAGTGGTCACCGAGTTGGCAATACTGCCATGCACCAGTGTGCCCGTCGTCTTGAGAATTAATGCAAGTGAAACTATTCTATAGCATTTTAATAAAAAATATATTTTGTATATTTCTGTTTGTTTTACTATTTGCCTTCGGTAATAGTGGTAGGTATTGACCTATTAAATGTGATGGACCAGAAAACTGCAAGGAATATTATTCTAGGATTTGCAAAACTTTGCTCATATATTTTCATAAAAATGCTTTTACCAAAATTAATTATTAGCTATTAAACAAAACCATAAAGAATTTTTTAATGAGCGACCCAAAAATCTTTAAGTGCATTTTAAACACGTTGGTCTAAAAAAAATTATTTTGGTTTTACTTGAAACGATTTTTTAACTTTGCATTAAATCCGATTGGTATTTTTTACTAGGTATTACCTATAAAAATTTATAGCTCATTAATTCTTATCCAACAATTTACCTGCGTTTTTAATTTAAATCTAAACCGTCGTCATTAATCCCGTGTCACCTATATAACAAACTACATAATTAAAACATCAGTTTCGTATTTTGTAACTCCGTCAAACCCGAAAAATAATTATAACAATTAAATTAATCAACCAAAATTTTGATAAAAAAAAAACTTGTTTTCTTGACTGTGTCACAAGGACATTATACAAATGCAATAATACAGACGCACCAATCAAAAAGTTCCGTTTTCTAGCTTAGCGGTGGGGGTGTAGTGGGGAACAGCTGACTGGCGAAATCTAAACAACACAACAGACATCTTGATTGCAGTTTTTGGTGCGGCTTTCCCTAAAAAAAATTATTTTCTCCTTTAATATGACAGAAAAATAATCGGATCGCCTTTATGTTTCTTCTTTTTTGTTCGGTGTTTGTTAATTCATACAGAATACTTACTCTCGATGTGTTATTTTTAATAAGTATGACGTCATGTGATGGCTTTTATTTAATGAGGAGCTCAGTTTTATAAGGTAAATACCTCATTTTCTTTTGTTTTATTGCGATAACCGAATCGGGACTTCGATTTATGAATTGTAGGTGTGCTACGACATATTATTTAAGTAATGACAATGGTTGAAATCAATATTTTTAGTAAATATTCTAAGATTTTCGCTTTACTACTTTGAACGTCCTTGAACAAGTTTTGATTTTGTTAAATAGCTCGCGTTCGCGATGTGCATGAAAATTTCGTCGAAAAAATCGGGTGTTCTGAAAGGTACATCGTGGGTAACCTTGAAATTATTATGTTCTACAGAATTTCAATAGCAAGGTTTTAGCCCACAACTAGATTAATTCTTTTAATTTCCTACTTCCAAATTATTGCTCACGATATCCAATATCCTACTGCCTGCTTAAGTGGGTAGGTAATAGTTTGAGAATGTCGTTTGTTTGTGTTACAATTAATCGCTACAATGTTTACATGACATGAACACTAGCTATATTCTAAGATATACAAGGTGTTTCAAAACAAATGAGTCTTTGTTTGAAATAAAGGGTATAGTGTGTTATATAAACGTTGGTTCAAAAGTTAACCATTAGGGAGATATCGCGCTACAAATATGGCAGAAAAAAAATATATGTATTATTATATTAGCAAATTTTTTGTCTTCTGCAATTTCCTAATAAAATTTACAGTTTTGTGGAATTTCCGTTGGCGCGTCCGTATATAAATTGCATATCTTCCATTTCTGTGATTCCCCTTTATCGAATTCAAACTCTTATTATTTAACAATTAAATAATTAGACAATAAATTTTTCATTAAAATGTATTTTGTATTGAAATTAACTGAGCAATGTCAAATAAAACAAACGCCTTAAGGAGTGACAGCAGCTAGCTAGATTTTTCTTATCTAATACATTGTTTATCTCGTTATGCATTTCTTTAGATTTAATTTTTTTTATGTGGAAAGAGAATATTTTTTTTATGTCATTGTATTAGTTTTTCCTTAAATTTAGTTAAGAATGAGAAACAATAAAACCATTATTTTTCCCGCATATTTGTTGGCTTTTAGCCCAACGTTTATATACCGAACACCCTTTTATTTTAAACAATGAATGAATGACGTTTTCGCATTTGCTTTAAAACACCTTGTATAATATAGACAGATGTCACATCTTAATATAGGTTTAATTAGAATAGCAAACTGAATTGAAACACTTAATCACATTATCACTTTATTCATATATATTCCGCTATGTTATAATAAAAAAGAAGAACCTACTTTTACAACATAACAAAGCAGTTTGAAAAGTAGCTTTCCAAAGTTAATGGGGAAAACCTTTAAAATCTTAGATAGATTTTTAACGTACCTAATCTCCTAAATTTCGTCGATATAGAATATAGCAGAATCGCTGTTATCGGATTTGTTATACCGGCTAATTAAATTATACAACAGTTGCATGTAAATGGTGTGTCTGTAACAGTTAAAATATCTACAAAATATGTGTAATATCATACTATGTGGAATGACAAACTTTCGAATTAAAACCCATTAAATGTTGACCTGTTATGCATTATTTAAATCATCAAAATATATATCATAATATAAAAAAATTTTTTTTTTTGGAGCTGCTAATCTCTTTTATTATTCCTTTTTTTCACACGTCTTGGCAATTGGTCACTCCACCGATCGTTTTAAATTTTGGACCAAAATTTGTGCTTTTTTATAACTAAGAAAATTTTCATTGCAGGGTGGAGTGAGTTACATTGGATCTCTTTGGTTATTTTTAAATCAGTTGGATCTCTGAAGATTATGAATTATTTGTTGTTCAAGCACACTTTAATGAAACCCCACATGCATCACAGTTTCTCACCAGGAAAGTCCAATTGTTTGGATTCTATAACAAATACCCAAAATGATCATAAAATTAAAGAAGTTTGGTCCAAACACAATTTTAATAATGACAAAGTCAAGATAGAAACTATAAACTTGAATCACATTAAGACAACTTGGGGCGCAGAAACTGGCACTAAAGAGCCAGGCGAAGTCGCCGAATTGGTTTCCGATATCAAAAAAGAAAATGTGGAGTCCACTGAAAATGCAGCTGAAAATTCACAAACCAACGATCAAGGGGACCAAGAGGACAAGGAAGGGACGACGTCTCCTTCTCATCATGCCCGCAGACCTCCAAATGCATTTTTAATTTTCTGTAAGAAACATCGGCCTATCGTTAGACAGAGATATCCGACCACCGAAAATAGGGGCGTTACCAAGATTCTGGGCGAATGGTGGGCTCTTCTAAATATTGTGGAAAAGCAGCCTTATAATGACCTTGCTAAAGAAGTGAGTGGAGTAGATTATTTTTTATTCAATTTGTTGAGAGAAAAACTGGTGTAACTCCGGTATGGTTCCGTTTTTCTGTAAATCATATACATCCATGTGATGTTTGCCTCTGTATACATTAAATGCTTATCCCGCCTCCTTTGGATATAATGTTATTTATTCTTAAATGGAAATTTTGTTATAGTACAAAGATGCATTTCTATCTGCAAATCCGGGGTTTCGGTGGTACAAACTTCCAGCACCTCCATTGCGAACTTTGAGCACGAGACCAACTACCATTTCCAAGCCACCCATTCCAGTGAGCAGTGCGTCATTGACTTGCTTATCAGAGTTCACCCCTGGCAAGTTGGCTGACGAATCTCAACTCGGAGGTTTGACGTCATTAATGAACAACTTCATTGGCGTTCAAAATTCCATCAATAACTCTTTTTACAAAATTGAGGACAATAATAATGAACCTATTGACTTTAAGAAGGATCAAACTTCCATAAGTGATTTGGACGTTCCAGAAGGTTGTCAGAGTCCAGATGAGTTTATTAAAACTGAAATTCCTCCAAGGCCTATCAAAAAACGCGTATTTGAGCAATTTGTCGAAGAGGAGAAGAAATGCCCAAATGATGTATTCCGGGAGTCAAATGAAAACATAACACAGCAAGATTTACTAAATAAAGTTGTAGATGATATTTTTTCCTTTGACAGTGATGGTAAGTGCAAGAACTTTGGAGAATGTTGTTCTACCAATAGATATATAATAATAATGTAATAAATTGGTATCTATCTCATACCATTTTAAAGTTTCCATTCCCATATTTTTATTAAGTTCAATAAGGAGAAATTAAATGGAGGATCAGTTAAAGTTATAGTAGTTATTGGGAACTTTTCAATAAAAATTAATTTACTTTTTCAAAGAAACTTCCACAGGCTACTGTAATGCTGTTTCCAAAACTTCTGGATTCCTCCTGCGTTTGTTGTTGATGCGTCGAGCTTGTTGATATGTTAGTTAAGCTCTGAAGAAGTCAACAGGATGATTGGCGAAACGTGAGCAACTTCGATTCATCAAGAACCGACGCAGGAGGAATTCAGAAGTTTTGTAGTAAAAAATTAATTTTTTTAAGGTCAAAAGGAACAGAGAAAAAGTGATCGAATGTGCAAGGGCAAAAGGTATGAGCGATTCATGGTGGAAGGTAAACTATTAGGAAGCAAACGCGAAAACAAACTAACCCAAAATTACAAACTGAATCGAGGACCGCTGAAAGTTGAACAAGAAACCATCACATCAAAATCTCAGGAACCACCCAAATTTGATTTAGAAACTACAATTAAACGACTTGCCGAGAGAACTAATGTTAAGTTGGACTTTGAGGCTGAAGATTTTAAACCCAAATCCGAAAGAGTTAGGACTAATTCAGAAACCTCAGAACCATCAGCTTCTAAATCTCAGTCAGTTAGTTTTAATCTGGACCTCAGGATAGATCATCTTCCAAGTCTGAGCTATGACAATTTCCTAATCCGAAAGAAAGAGAGCAAAAAGCGCAAAATCAAAATAAAAACTGAATCCTTGGAGCAGAGAAGCAAAGTTCCCAGATTAGGGAAATCAGAGAGCCACTTGGTTGGTTCACAGAAAAGGAAGAACAAAAACAGCATCACACATTTGAATAAAACGGAAAACGCCGAGTTAGGAGGGAATAATGCCTTGTTGGGATTAGCTACTTTAGCTTTAGTTGCTGCCAGTACTGAAAAAATTGATGAAAATACCTTTGCTGTGTAAGTTTTATGATTTTTATTATGTTTTATTCCACAATAAGGTTTGGAACTATTAACTATAGAGTGTTGAATATGGTTTTAATTTGATATTATTTTTTATTCAACATTTGATATCTTCTCTCTATATATGTATATTAATAGTTTATTATCTCTATATGAAGCATTTGTTATTTGTATTTAATGATTATTTAGGTTCGTTGTTATATTTTTATTAAGGGATGTTGCCTATTTTGAACCATTGTGCGTGTGTCCTCTAGTTCTCCCTTTCCCTCTATATATAAATGAAAGTATAAACAAAGTACATGCCGCATTGTGTTAAAGAGTATGAAACAAATGAAAAAATTACAAGTAAGCTAACTAGGTTCAAAGATTCAATATTTTTTTACGGGTTAAGCAGAATAGTAAATTAATATAATATGTCTAGTCACAAATGTGCTTCATATGTTGGGCACATTGTAAGAAATAAAATTTACCGCTTCTAAGTAAGAAAAGTGATTCATATAAGAAATTGATCATTATAGAAAAATTGTGGTTATCTTGTGGATGAAATTTTACCATTGTAAGTCGATATATTACGAGGTAATAGGTACACCTCGTAACATTCTAAACCAGATGTTGGATCCAGCACGCTAATGAACCAAGATTGATCAATGTCGAGTGCCTGCTCAATGACTTTGAACACCAAATAGGATATATTTTTGTTGCAGTGCTACACAGTTTTTGGTAAACCTTAATGCTTTGCTTTTTTTAATGATTAGCAAAGAGAAATATTCTATTTCATGGTATTTACCAAACTTTTTACCAAGGACGCTATTAAATGTTTGTTGTGATAATTTAATCTACTTTTTAGCAGTAACAATATGGCAGATATGGAGTGGTTATTTTTGAGAGAGTGTATAATCATTATTAAATTTTTTATAAATTGGGAGAATGAAAAATAAAAAGGCAATGAAGTGAAGTATGACATATTGTAATTTTTTTGAAATTTTAAAAAATAGAAGGAGATCTCTCCATGTAGATATTTTGTTATAGTTTATTGTGTTTATTGTTTTTGTGTCACATAAGGAATCCAATTTCTAATCGTTAATACCAAATTATAATTTGTATTTATACCAATTATATATTATATAAACATGTTATTACTTTATAGAGTCTAGGTGTTTTTCTATGTTCTAATGTTATAGATATTTCAATATTTTTAAGGTAGAGTGTGAGATATATAATAACTGTTGATCTGAGGTGTGATTGTTTATAATAAACATTTAAAATGTTTTATGTGATATCAAGAGTTGAAACTTTATCAAATTTTTTTCGCTATATGTTATCAATACCGTCAACTCAAAGTACTCTTTATATCCCATTTTAAGTTCAATTTGTGATGTTTGTCGCTTACATTGAACATATCTTATCGCCTGTTCAGTGCTTGGCTCTATTTTATTTAAAATTAATTTACAAAAATTTTGGAAAAATTACATTACAAAAGGTAAAGTACCCAAAAGCAGAGGACCCTTTGTTTCCTTTCAATTATTTTACACATTAAAAAAACTTCAGCATCTGCTGCTACTCAACCAATTTCATTAAGACAAATACAGCTTAAACTTTTATTATAGGAAGTTGGAGCAACTTAGTGGCACCCGAGTATACATTATATACAGCTCTTTCTTGATCTAAAGTTAGGGAAATGAGTGAAAGAACTTTTTTCGACCTTATTATTAATATATGGTATTTGACCTTCAACACAATATTTTGGTTACACAAAAATATAGCTTTTCCTGGTGGTATTGCCGAGTTTCTTGAGAAGATCTTGAAACCTTAGAATTTATGGGCTGTATCGAGTGTCTTTTGCCACATTTGCTTCACACTTAAATTTAAATTATGGCAAACATTAGAAAAAAAGTAATTTTCAGTATTCACATTTTTGCAACATCATATTTTCGAAAAGGTTTTGTAATATAAAATTTTCTTTAATTGGAAATATACTATTAAGGTAGTTGCTTATTATCGATCAATATTGCAAAATTTAAGTATGTATTTAATGAATGAATATTGTTTTCTTGCTTTTACCATCTTAGCCCAATTTCATAGTTCAGCTATTAATGTCACTTAGTTTGAGAGAACCATCAACAATTTGCAGTGATTATTTACAGAATAAATACCATTTCAAGTTGCCTGCAAGTGTGTCTGGTTTTTTGTTTTTTTTGATGTCACATTACACTATTAAGGAGTACCAAAAATGAAATTTAAGGGGTCAATAAAACCAAAATATCAATGTGAATAAATTGTAGTGTGTGATAGTTGCCTAACTATTTGTTTACGTAAATGCCTCTACATGGTGAGTCAGTTTTTCTACATTATGAAACATTATTCAAATGAAGTTATGGCTTCTTTAAAAAAAAGCACTTATAAAAATTATTCAAAAACTTTCTGAGGTTGATTTACACAAAAACTGATCTACCATGCCAGTTATTTGTAGTACTTTTTAGGCCTTCTAACATCGACCAAATGTATATGTTTTTCTAAAATATAAATGAAAGCCTTATAGGTGTAATATTAAAATATAATTATCCAAGTTTTAAAAATATCTTTGCGGGTTTGTAGGAATGCATACAGGAATAATGACATTTTACAAACAAAATGGGGATATAGGTTCCAAAAGTTTAATTAGTTAATCTGGAAATGTAGTTCCTTCCCAGTGCAATTTCATAATTTTTGGAAACCCACACTTTTGTTGACCTCCTTTCTCCGACTTAATTTCAATTTATAATAATTGGATGGCTCTCGATTGATATTGAGGAAGCTTTTACATTATTAGTATGTCAAAATTATTGTTTTGAAATGTTGCACTCTCCTTCACATTTTAAAAATTATATGTAGGTACATAAAAATGCAGGTGAATAATCCTCATTGTGTTTGTATGCATAGATCTAAAAGATTTGTTACCATTATATGCATGGTTTGATAGATATAGGAATGTGAATGGATTGTGATATGTTATTTTTCTACGGAACAGAGACATGTTTTTATTTATCCAAGTTGTATAGTGCCTTTTTATTTATTGTACCGTTATTTACAAATTTTTATGCCTTTAGAAGGTTTGACTAATATAAAATATAAATTTTATTAAAGTTTAATATTAATTTGGTGTTTTCTTTAAATTTAACGATATATCAAAGGATAGGATGGAACATTCGGTGGGTTAATAAAATCTGACAATAAAAATCCTTTATAAGAAGATATATTCGGAAAATTTTCAGTTCAACTTGTGTGTAAAATTCAAAATCTGCTTTCATTAGGGAATTATTTATAAAATTCATGTTCACTTTCATCCTTTTTAATGTTATTCTTGTAGCCCTTCTCGAAGTCCTTAGGCAATACAATGTACCGATTTTCTCTCACTGCGTGCATTCCTGCTTCCTGGCAGATAGCGTTTATATCAGCGCCAGATATCTTGTCAGGTCTGGCAACATAATCCTCCAAATCAACCTGAAAGAAGGAATCTCAGAATGTACAGTAATTGCTTTGAAAATTTAAGCTATTACTCACTTCTTCAGACAAATTCATTTTGGAAGTTATTGTGCTGAAAATCAATCGTTTTTGCCTTCTATCTGGCAATGGAAACTCAATCTTTCTGTCTAATCGTCCTGGTCTAAGTAAAGCAGGATCCAGAGTATCAGCTCTATTTGTAGCCATGATAACCTAACTCAAAATGTGAAAGATGCAAGCCTCATAATAAATAAAGTACTCAAATAATAAAGTACCTTAACATTAGTTGTTTGGTCAAAACCATCCATTTGATTCAGAAGTTCCAGGAGAATTCTCTGTACTTCCCTATCAGCACCAGTTTGAGCATCAAATCGTTTTGTAGCGATTGCATCAATTTCATCAATGAAAATAATTGCAGGAGAATTTTCTTTGGCTAAACGAAATACATCTCTGACCATGCGTGGACCTTCTCCTAGGTATTTTTGAACAAACTCTGAGCCAACCACTCTAATAAATGCGGCTGAAAAATTATTGGGATGAAATCCCTGAAACTACAGTGATTCGTGCACAAATACCTGTTGTGTGGTGGGCAACTGCCTTAGCTAACATAGTTTTACCACACCCTGGAGGTCCATACATTAACACACCTCTTGGGGGGTCAATGCCAATTTGCTTATATAGTTCAAAATGTGTCAACGGTAATTCAACAGCTTCCCTTATCTCCTGTTTTTGCATGTCCATTCCACCTAAATGCCAATCAGTTTGTATCACAATACAAAACAAAATCAATAGTTGATTCTTTACCAATGTCGCTATAACTAACATCTGGTTTTTCATCTGCTTGGAGCATACTGATAGACGAATCAGCTTCCGGTGGCAAAACATCAACCAAAGCATTGCTGTGTTTATGCAGAGCAACACTTGCCGATGGTTTTAACAACTCGCGATCAATAGTGGACAAAATTCTCACATAATAATTAGAACCAGTTGTCGATCCAACAATACCTATAAAAATGTGTTATATAGATATTGGAAATTATATTACAAACGGGTATAATCTTTTTCAAAAGAACCAAAGTACCTGTGTTTTGATCTACAGCTTCTAAAAATTGTCCAATCACAAGAGGAACAGACTGAATCCTCTTAACTTCTTCTTGGGCATGCAGGTATTCTTTCTTAAGGTTCCGTTGTTCATCCTTGATGTATTCCTCTTGTACTTCTAGAAATTCCAGCATTTGTTGAAGTTTTTTATACTTCGTGTATAAATCTTCAGTGTCTAGGTCTTGAAGAGTTTGCTTTGTTGTGTCTGATGGGCTTCCTTCTTCCTGTGCAAAACACAATAAAAGCCAATTAAAAAGCACAGATTGTAATTTCAAAGAAACGGAATTTACCTTTTCAGGCAAAACTACTTCCATTGCTTCCATCGTGATTTCCAATAAAAAAAAGTTTAAATAGTTTAGATCAGATGACTCGTACAATTAGTTTTGCTAGGTTAAGGGCAAAGACTAAAACATGTCGATTGGTTACTTTAAAAAGGTTTGAATGTATGGAGGTTTCTTTCTGATTTCAACTTGGGGTTGGAAATTAAATATAAAACAGAATCGGGAATTTCTATTCACTTCTGGACAAACGAAACTATAGGTGATGTATGTTATACAATATTTTTATAAAATCCTCTTTGATAGTAACAACCTCATACTAAGCCACTTGTGGAATATAGACTGATACGTCTTACACCAATGCTACTTTGCTCTTTACTGTGAATCAAGTTTAATCCGGTAGATGACGCCAAACGCTCTTTATATTTTGATGTAAAATTTTCAGTATTGATGGAGAGATAGGTAGCGATTTTGCGTTTTATTTATTAACAATATCCAAATCAGAACAATGTGAGTACGTCGCACAAAAGCACGCTTTAGTTTAGAATATGTGGCTCGATTATGTTGCATTCTCGTATTTCACGTCATTATGGTTTATATAGAACGAATCCTATCAATGATATTTTTAAATTAAGAATTTCTAATACAAATTATTTTATATAAAGTAGTTGACTTTTGTTGCAAATAAAGTGGTTCCAACAATAATATCGAGTAAATAACTATTTCGACGAATCATATAATAAAATAAATAATAAGTTCCAAGGATAGGTATGTACGATGCCTATAAATACTCCTTATGTACCATAAGCTATAACACCGATAGCGACTAGAACAATACGATATGTATAAGAATACGAAAAATTAAAATATCCATTTAATGTTATTTAAAGTCAATGTCATGTCATTATGGGCATTCTTATAAAAGGTCACATATGGTAGTTTAGTAAGAAAATAAACTTTGTAGGTATTTTCCGACTGAATAAAATAAATGTTGGTATAAATTATTTTTACTTATGGTAAGTATTGTGCACCCCTTCCAATCATAAAAAATAATAGTTGATCGACGTTTCCCAGCTAAACTTTTGCTTTAAATATTAAGTTACTGTTTAATAATCTCTATACCCATTATTTTATGATTAGTAATTCGTTCAACTTATTTTGAGATCTTTTTTATAGAACTGACTATGAAGGTAGGAGTTACGTCTTGAAGGTTTGTTCGAAGATTTGTAGCAAACAAAAATTTCGAGTAACTTAAAAGAATAGTATTACAAAATGTTCATTTCAATATTGGATTATTTAAAATGTTTTATTAAATTTTGGAATAAACAACTAAGTTGAAAGATTTTGTTTTAGCTCATCCTAGCAGACAATTTCGCTTATATCCAGCATAGCTTACGTTATTTGTTTGTGTTTAATGAAATATTTGGGAAATGTTTATAATTGATGGATTTTTGATTTAGTTACGTACCTATATTTTTATATACAGGGTGTTGTATACAGTTTTTGACAATTCTGCGGCAAGTTGGTGACCCATGAAAGAAATAGTTTTCTGACTCACTTACGGGACATAGTTATGTATTTAATTTTGATAAAATATAGTGATTTTCTTTAAAAATATTGATGTTAACAAAATCTACTTAGAATTTCGTGTAGTATAAAATATGGGGTTTGCATTGAAAATTAGAAAGTGGTGCATTTGCTAAAGTACTTTTAAAAATATAGCTTGTCATTTAATATAGACGGATAGGTACTAAATTATTTAGCTCTAACATAAACCCAATGAAAGATAAAGAAGAAAAAGTAGTGGACAGTTTTTTTGCCCTTTGTATGTGTTAATATAACTTTTTTGAAACCATACACCCTGTATATGTTTTTAATAAAATATTGAGTTATCAAATCTTTAAATTTGACGTTCTCTTGTGAAACAATTTATGACTTAAAATAACTGTGGCGTAAGTAGCTATGCTGAATGTATGAAGTTTATTAATTTTTTGTACCACGGAATATTTCAGATGCTGATCATCAGTAATTTTTCAATGATATTGGGGCGCGTTAAGATTTGGTAAGTAGTTTCACAAAACGAAAACATTTAATTTTCTAAAAGCCATATTATAACTTGCCTAAATTTTGTACGCAAAAGTTAAACCGGAAAGCAAGAATAGAAAAAATATTTTTCTACAAGTGTCAAAAAATTGTCAAAATTTTAAATAAATTAGCAGAAGCTATCTTACAGTCGGTTTCATAATTTTTCATTGATTTGGGATGTGCAATAAAAAATAACATATTTGGCTGTGAAACGCGAAATTTGCTATCTACCTATAAACATATCTTGAATAGACACGAGATTTTTTGTATACTCCTAAAGGTCTGCAGGTACGGAATTTCAATTTTTAGATTTGGAATGCAAAAAACTCTATTTTTATTTAAGTTGCTGCCCAGAGTTGTTGTAGTAATATAAACCCTCGTTCAAATATATATTGTCCATAAAAGCATTATTAATAATAATAATTATTATTAAAACTAAGATGTATTCCGATTTAAACGTTTTTTAAAACTCAAAAACAAGAAACGTGGTTTTGGACGTTGATGGTGAGCAATCTGTGCCCGCAAATGCTTCAACATCAACCGTGGTAACTTCGATATCAAGAACCCAATTGGAAGAACATATCTGAAAACACGTTGCTCCAAAAAACAATCCGACACAACAGTCGTATATTTATTTGATCAATTACCAAACCGATTGATTGTAGGTAATGGCGTCCACTAACCAATCGAAGACTTCAGCCCCTTCGGGTGTTGGGACTTCTTCCGATGACAGAACAAAATATTGTGTATATAACAATCCAGAGTCGGAATCTAATTCCAGCTCTATTTTATCATCCATCGGTAGCGTTTTAGTTATTGTCAGTACCGCTCTGATATTTTTCGCCGCTGCCCGGAACTCCATTACTTGGTTGGTTGATGGTGGTGCCAAGACGAGACGCATACAAGCATGAGTTTTCAGGTATTGCCAACGGTTCTGGGGAGCTTCAGGGGATTTTTGGCAGGCTCAGTGGAATAAATTTCTCAACGTCGCGGGCGAGGATCCTTATTATTTGTGGGTATTCGGCACCACCGCACTAACGATCATCGTTTACTGGATTTTCGGTGGGATTTACACTTTCTTGGACGTGACCAACAAACCTGCCGCTCTCCGACGATACAAAATTCAACCGGGCACCAACGAGCCTGTGGACACTAAAAAACTTTTAGAGGTTCTCGATTTTAGCTGCTTTCTTCCCTATTTTCAATTCAAATTTTAACATTTCCGCATCATCTATTAGAATTCTTGTAATTTATATTATGGCTTTTGAAATTTCTTATTCAAAAATACGTTACTGTATAACAAAAATAATTTTTTAGATATGAACCATCTGATCTTTTGCTTTAGCCCATATATAAAAAAAAATTAGTAACTTAAATTTTTAAACAAATTGCTTCAATGTGGCGAAGACTAGGTTTAAAGGTACTCTATTCAGTGATCGCAGCAAAAGAGTACAAAATTCAAGTTAATAAAAACACACCTTGGTTGATAAAAAAGTAATATTATTTTATTATGTATATGTGTGTCTCATTTTTCATGGTTTTGCTGTGTAAGCTACCCTATTAACAACGTCAGCGTGTTGCTGACAGGTGGTAGAAAACAAATGTCATAGCTATGTTGGATTTTACGTACAGGGTGAAAATGTATCTTTAGACACCATAGCTCGGTTATGCATTCATTTATCGAAATGGTGAAAATTTGGTCTGGTCTACGTAGTCAGTTTTCTTCCGAGACTCACTAATTCTGATATATAAACTAAACTTTTCTTTGGAATACCCTGTATGTCTCTTAATTAATTTATCAGGCTTGTTACTAGCTTTGAAAAATATATAACACATAAAAGATATTTCAAATATAAGATAATAATTATCATAATAATAATATGTTAAGTGGAATAAAATTAGAATATATTTTCTAAAATGTCCAAATATGTGTTTATATAAATCGTATATTTAGACGTTTATACATTTTTAAAAAGCACTTAAAGACTCCATGAAATAAAAAAAATGATAACCATTATGTTACTGGACTCTACGTAAAAAGATCTATAAGATTAGGGTTTCTTAATCTCATCACAATATAGAGTGTATGAGTGTAAGTAAATGAAATGGCGTAATTTTCTGTTCGAAAAGGGTGTCTTTTAGTTCACGAAAATCGACCATAGTACTACGAAATCCAGTAAAAAGTAAAAATTTCTATAAATGTGTTTTCGAGTTATCTTTATTATTTAATTAAAAGTAAATCTAAAACTGTGAAAAGCTTTTATAGTAACTTTGTACCTTAAAAATACTTGAGACATCACCCTGTGAACTGTCGTACCAGTATTAAATAATACCCTGTTTGTTGGTATGTACTCAAATCTTATTCTCTCTGTGTTTGAGCTGCGCCACCAGTCTGGAATCTTTTGCTTATATTAAAGTTGAGTGGATTTTCTCTTGGTTCCAGGTGATATCTTGCGTGATCATAAATCAAACTCTAGTAGGTTTGCCGTCCTCATTCGTGATGTATTGGGCGATGCGATGGCGAGGATTTCCCGAAATAAGGGAATTGCCGACATTCCACTGGGTGCTTTACGAATTGGCCATTCATATTTTAACGGAAGAGGCTGCTTTTTATTACTCTCATAGGTAAGAAAACGTTTTTACACGGCGCATTACCTGCACCAACATGGTGACTTCGATTGAACTATAGTTTAAAACAGTCGTCGGTGCATTTGGTATAAAAGCTATAAAAACAGTCTAAAGAACTTTGCAATTGGAAGAACTGGAAGCAGTGTATAAGATGTACTAGAAGTGTAATAACTAATTGTTTAACAGCGTAGAAACACATTATTGACAATTCGAAAAGGGAATGTCTTCATTGTCTAAATTTTTCACTAGGTTAAAAACGCAGTTCCGTATTGAGACTATTAGATTAGTGTCTCTTATTTTCGATTATTCTGGTCATAGTTTTTCCGTTTTTAAGGACAAGAAAGATAGCGATATAGTAATATGTTTATTTTAATTTCGCAGACTGTTACATAGTCGACATATCTACAAATACATCCACAAACGGCACCACGAATGGACAGCTCCGATAGCGGTGACTGCCATCTACTCGCATCCGGTGGAGCATATTTTTTCAAACCTAGTACCACCTTTCTTAGGGGTCTTCATTATGGGCTCCCATGTGGCAACGGCGTGGTTATGGTTTACCCTGGCAATTTTGTCAACTTTAAACGCCCACTCGGGTTATCATTTACCCTTCTTTCCATCTCCAGAGGCTCACGATTTTCACCATTTAAAGTAAGTACGTCGGCGTAACAACATATTTACATAAAATGGACGGGGTGTCCCTTTTTCGATGTGTTATTATGGGAAACTATTATTCAAGATACCAAGATGGTATTTACACATTACTTCCTTTGAGGTTTCAATGGTACAATGAGAGTTTGTGAATAGCACGAAGAAAAATAAAAAAAATTGGAGATTTGAAAAATTTCATGATACAGATTTTTTGATTTTGCGAAGACTTTCATTGCAACTTTTTAACAGAAATAAAATGACCCATATAGCCCATTTTCATTTCATATCTTGTCAAAAAGTATCATTGTCTAGTTTAAGTAGTTTTAATGTTACCTATACACAACCCAATAAAACATTACTTACTCCGTCTTTATAACTATAAATCGTATTTTTTTAAAATTTTTGCGTTGAAATTTTTTTCTTGTTTAAAACTAATAAGGGAGCGGACATCGAGAGAGGAGAGATTTAGAGAAAACTTTTAATGATAAATATTAGCAACGGGTATGTTCCAGATTCAACAATTGTTTTGGGGTATTGGGTGTTCTGGACCGTATCCATGGAACGGACAAGCATTTCAGGCAAACGACTGCCTATGTGAGGCATATAATGATGTTAAGTTTCATACCACCGAGGGACGCTTTTCCGGACAGCAAGCCTTGGCTGTACGGTAAATTCTAATATGTATTTGTCTGTTAGTCATACACATTAAAATGTGAATATTTTTTGTGATTTTTGATTGACCATAAATTTTTTCATAGGAGGTTCAAGTAGGTATTAATAATCATTTGTATAGACGTGACCCGATTTGTTTTTCACAATAACTAATATTTTATAATTCTGTAGCTTTACTCTGTTATACTTATACAGTTTATAAAAGGACCATACTAAATAATATAACAATACACTTTAAATTTGAAGGTATAAATTTGTTGTCCCACATCCGCCCTCCATCTTGCCTCAACTGCCTCGTATATGTCAGGTATTTCCATATAGCTACTAGCCATATACAGACCTTGCCTATGTTGACAAGACTGGAATTTAATATGCGCATGCACTGTTATTTAAAACCAATTCAACCAATAAGACTGAGCCGCGTTCAACAACTAACACGACCGTCGTCAATTCGATAGTTCCAGTTTCATTGCATTTTCGCGGCAGTATTTTGTCAAAATATGCCCAGATCTCTTTAATTGTTCTAGAAAAACGAATGTGTGAAGATCGCGGAAATGTGGGTTAGTGGGTGAAATTTAGAGGTGTGCGCCGAAGTTTATCCCTATCCCCATCTCTACGAAAATATAATAGCCGCCCGCATCATCAAATCAAATCAAATCAAAAAAAAGTTTTCCTATAACAAATGATTTGGGCAAAATTATTATATTATATTATACAAATCAGAAACATAATACAAACAATATGATTTTTTGGGGTCCCTTCTGGCTTTCGAAACACTCTGTATATGGGATAGTAAATATACTCACTTTCATCACTGAAAATGAGCAATTTGGATTGCACACTAAACTCCCCCCTATCCAGTAATTTTTTATTTGAATTTTGGCCTGATATTACCCATAAGTAATTATATTATTGTTATAGAATTGAAAGAGCTAATTTTATTTCAATACTATTTTAATTACATTAAATTTTTATTAAGTTATATATATAATTTTAGAATTATTCACGGAAAACGTGTCGATGTTCAAAGAGCATTAAATTTTTTTTATTCTATTTCTACTGAAATCTGAGCCAGGACTGTCTTCTTGTGCATTGCATTCCTTTACAAAGAACGCACACGCTACATCTTGAGCCTGTTTTATTTAAACATTAGTCCTCAAGAGATCTGTATTATTACCCGCGGATTCGCGAAAGAAGGTTTGTGATTGAATCGATAAACTTTAATTAAGTATGCCGTTTGGAAAATAATGCTGTAATAAAACGAATATTTTATTTAGTTACAACAGTATAAAAATACATAAAGATATCTGGGTAGATATACAATTTTACGCTTATCTTTAAACTATAGGTATATCACAAATATAATATTGCATTTGGATTAAGGCACTAATTGGCATTAATTAAGTAAATACCACAAGCTAATTATAAAAAATTTGGCAAACTATCAGAGACAAAATTATTAACTTTGCAAATAATGGAAAACTTATTCGGTTACAAATGGAAAAGTACTACGACCTAGTATCACCTACAGTACATAATTCAGAAATATGTATTAAGCAATTGCTTTTAAAAATTAATACATTTACATACATCAAATATATAAATTTATTCTGAAAATTAATATAATTGTAAAATTCAAAAAGGCATTAACATACATATTATACAAAATATACATGTAATATTGAGTGGAAATATTTACATATATGTGTGTACTGTTTCTAAAATAAATGTAGTATCCATGGTTTTTTGTTCATACCAATATTATTTCTTCATAATTGAATAAAAAATATTATAGATGTTAGGTTTGGTACATGCCTTCAATCAAAAAATCCATCCTTTTGTAGTTTCTGTGCAACCACCAATCCATACCACGCTTATACAGTACAGATATTAAAATGGCAACTAAAGGTACTGACAAAATGACCGCTACAATTGGCACAATATACTCCGATCCTTGACTTTTTTGATGTAGCAGTACTGGATCAATTTGTTCTACTTGGAGAGAGTTTTTTATATTGTCCTCTTTTGATACTTCCATAGAAGCATCTGACTCTGTTACTAAGGGCTTTTTATGAGGCTTAATCGGTATATTCGTAACATTTGTTTTATTAGCAGCACTTTGGTGAATTGAGTTGCTGAAGTCAGGTTGATCAGGCATAGTAACTCCTTTCTTTGGAACACTTGTCTTAGCATCATCCTTTTGTACCTTAGAACTAAGTTCCATTTTGTCTTGCTTCACTCCTGATAGGCTGTTATTTTGAGTTGTGTTTATTTCAGAAGTTTTTACTCGATTAATTGGAGGGGTATCAAGCTCATGTTCTCTTCCCATATGTCTATCTAATAAAATATCTTTTGAGGCAGGCAAACTTGCAGTTCCAACTGTTTTGGCAAGATTTAGAGTTTTTGCAGACAGAGGTTTACCGTTTTCTTCCATAATTCTAGGAATGGTGCTTGGTAAATTTGTTTTAATACCACCAATTGCATAATGGAGATAACACAAGAAAATCAAATTTCGCATATTTATAAATGACTCGGTGCTGGTAACTGCAAATTTATTTACATAGCTTTCAACCCACTCCGTGCAACCGCTTCAAATTACAAAAAGGAAAAACCACATCATTTACCACTAGTACATAACCCAGCACTTTCTCAATTTCTGTGTGTAGTCTATGCCTAGAGTTTTATTCTGTGGTTTAGATATAAGAATATAAGAAATATCATCTAACTTTTATGTATTCTGCGACTGACAATCTCCAAGATTGTTAACAAAAACATTTAAAGTATTTATTTTTATAGTAGTTCATTTATTAATTCAGCTTAAACTAGGATACAACGAGATTCTATTAACTTGGTGTCTTTTAGAACTAATTCGTCGCGCATTCTTCGCTGGTTTTATCTTTGGTGTAAGACAAAAACATAACCCTTTTATTTATTTATCAAATGATTGAGGATATTATTAATAAAATGGGTAAATCTGATCAGTTAAGTGATAATGTGCCTGGACTTTCCCCACAAACCGAAGCCAGCAAATTACTTGAGCAAGCACTTATGCAAATGGATGGAATAATTTCAGGTAATTTCAATTTGGCTGCTTCTAATGTGTAAATTCTTTTTTTCTTTTATTGCTTTAAAAATAATATCGGAAAACCATTATTGTTTATCCTTTGGGTGCCCAAAAAATGAAATCCCATAGTTTAAGTGATTCAACTGATTGAATTCAGTTTTTCGGTTACTGATAGAAATCTTACAAAGATTAGAATTTGCCTCTGCTATAATACCGATTTCCTATTAGCATTTTGCTATTAGGTACCCACATATTTATATGCAACTGCATAAGAAACCATTGCTGATGCCTTAAGTACGATGTTTGTGTTGATTGATATTAAGTTAGGCAATAATTGTAGCAAGAAATGTAAACCTACTTATTATTTGATACAAATTAACAAACAATTCATGATTACCCGAGGATTTTTTTGTTTAGTTAATTTTAACCGAAAAATAGTTATGCCTATTGTGTTAAAACATGGTGGAACCTATATACAACGGGTTTGAGGGGCAACCTGCGGATTTCGAGCTACATACAGCTCTTTTAAGGATTATTTGTGGCAAATAAATCTACCTTAGTTCGATTTCATTTTTGTGTTATTATATTTTTAAAAAATATCTTCCATATCTGTTGCAAAGTGTCATTTAAGTTTATCACAACAACTATGAAAGACTAAGTACAACGTTGTAACGAATTTCATTTGCGTCCAAGTTAAGAATTATATGACTCATCGAAAACTGCGCTTGTACTTTAATTGTGTTTTCAAAAAATATAATTTCTGTAAAAAAATATGTTATTATCTTTTTTGCATACCTTTTAGATGCGGATTTAATTGCGGATAGCGAAAAATTTAAAATGAATACCTTAATATATATCATGGAGTGGTGAGCAAACCACTCATTATTAACATCATTAAATTGTGTCTGCGCCTACAATCATCCCATTTTTGAATTATCTGTTGCATGATGGTGTGTCATTTAATATAATATTAACATCTAATTAAAAAAAAAAACTCGAAAACTCCCGTTTTTGTCGCGCACGCAAGTCGCCCTTTTCCTCCCCCTTCCAGGTCGACAATCTTGGAGTTGCATTCGATATTGTCTGGTCGAAACGCCAGCGGCGGGCAACAAGTAGATCGGCGGAGTTGCGTTTGGAAACTCCCGGTCCGCTTCGGAGTTCGCTCTGTTGCTTTTCGCGAGCATCTTCTCATATTTTACTTCCACCCATGCGATGCTTCTTTAACGACTCCTTTGGGGTAGTTTAGTGTTTACATGTTGAAAGTGTGTAGTTTACGAGCGCTTTATTGTCGATATCGGTTTGTGTGTTTGCGGGATTATTTGTTGTGGTGGAGCTTCTGTAAGAATAGGGATTCATTTGTTTTCTGTACAGGACACATGGTGTTGTCTTTTAAAGATAGCTTGGCTTATGTTTTAAAACGAATTAGTTAATTTTCTCACAGCATTTTTGAGGTTTAAATGTCAATGTGTTAGCATAAGTTTGATCTAAATTTCAGATTTATTAAAAAAAATCATTAGAAATTTACCTCTTCAAATATTTTTTACCCCAATATTATCTTTTTTCCTTGAAAAAATTGTCCAGCGTTTTTTTTAAATTTTGTGAAGTTATTAGTAGAGAAAAGCAGAGATTCGTGAATACAAAGAAGCAAACGTTTATTTAAAAGGTTTTAAATGTAATTTTAGTTTTCACATTTCTATTTACTGTTTTAGGTTGTGTAGTTAATTTGTAAAAGCTTGATAATTGAACCATCCTTCCTATACCTCACAAGATTTAAAAGTTGAATCGAAAAATCGAATAGAGAATGAAGATATCTTATAAAATAAGGTATCATATGATTTTTAAAAATTTTAAGTTGACAATTGGCACTTGTTAAGCAGGCAACATCCTGGTCCTATATCGATGTCTTTTTCATTACATAGCGGTGGTGTTGGGGGGTGGGGGTCACGTGGATTTTCTACATTTACAGATAACCCCCATCGGTGCACCCAAAAAATATTTTTTTACAATTTTTTTATTAAGTTACGTTCAAACTGAAATCCTTGGCTCTATCCATTTAATCACCTAAGTATTTTTATAATTGAAAATTTTAGATTCGTAAGATATTTTTGTTGGTTCATACGAGAGAGGTGATTGTAAAATAATTAATTTGACCTCGACTGCGCACAGAATTTTTTTTAACCACATTGGAAGAGAACAAAGCAATTGGCAGTGTTTTAAGTTGTAACTAAAGTCGATCCTGCAAGGAGCCTTTAAAAATGTATCCATGTCGATTTTAAATTTACTATAAGGTATGCCACTTCTCTATGACGCGGTGGTGGTGGTTGAACATGTGCCACTCGGGCGCACCTTTACATCAGGGTGAGAATAACATTAATGGTGAGTAGTAAGTAATGCACCCACTTTGTTAGCGAAGAAATTTAAAAATAAAACTCTTAAAATTTGGGTTCGAAAAATGCCGAACTATTTTACAATCTCTGGCCAAATTTTAAAATTGTTTGGCCAATGAATATGTATATTAAATCCCGCCATTTATAATTGTTTAATTCGTCTAATGTTATAGGGGGTAGTTAATAATGAACATTTATAAAATTAATAGAACTTTAATTATTCACATATTCATAAAAACATAAAAAAAATGTTTTACCACTGTGAATAAAGTAATAAGTAATAAAGTAATTTGATTTAATCAAAATACACACATCTTATGGGCGTATGTTAGTTAAATAATAATGAATATATTTTTTTCCGTATTAGGAAATAGTACCGAATGGGGGTTAACTATTATGTCCAGTAGTTTCAAAAACTTTTTAAAATCATAAGTGGTTTCAAGACATTTCGATATGATAAAAAAAGGCCAACATAAGCACACCGGCCATTTTTGGAAAAAGTAACATTAAATTTTAAAAATCAAATATGTCTGAAGATGCATAAACGTTATTGTTTGGAAGGATGAAGTGCACGAAAATGGGAAACAAAATTATGGTTTTAATTACATCCGAAAGCCATTCTACCCAACCCATAATAATGTTGTTCAACAAGGACTTTTTTATTCGGTAAGTTTTAACCGATAAATTCCAACTCAACCTTACAAAAATTGCCTTTATTTACCCTCATACGTAAGTCGATAATATTCTGTAAGCTCTAACAGATGTGATATAGGGCGCAAAATCAGCCTTTTCGTAAGAGACGCTCGGGTTTCTGTTTGTGATATATTGCCAATATCGGGTTCAATATAAGAACTCCTTTATTTTTAGAAAACTACGTTTTGTTAGCAACGCGAGATCGAACAAATAATGAAACTTCTCTTATTCAGAATCAATCATTACAACAATTCGGTTGATGAGGTAAAACTATGTTATATAAAATTTGCCTTTGACCAACAATTGTCTCCTCTGGAAAATATCAAGAAAATTTTGCAATTTTGGGATTTATAAAGAATATTATTAATTATTTAATCGCGAATACTGTGAAAGAATCGGTTGTGGTAGTCTTTGGTTTTTAGTTATGGCATTGCATAAATTGCTTTGAAGGATTTTTTATGAATTTTTGTATCCCAGCCGGTATCTAACTGGGCAGAAATTTCTTTATTATACTTGCTTAAGGTAAAGCCTAAATCTGTCAGCCTCAATAATAAGAGGATTTATATCGTTCTGGCATTCGTTTTTGAGTGGTTATTAAACTTCTGTTATTTTTTGTCCCGTATTTTTGTAAAAAGGGATATAATAACTAAAGCAATTAATATATTAGCATTGTGTTTGTAACATGCTTAACAAACCCAACTGTATAAGTAGAATCCAAAATAAATTTCTCAATCAAAGATTGCAGAATTAATTTTGCAGATTTTATGAATAACAACGTAGGCATCGTTTTCGTTTCTAGAAAACCTCAAATTATTTTCATGACAATGTGGTGGAAGTCTATTTTGACGTTTATCCACCGTATTATTGAAATGACTTTGTAAATATCTGGCGGATCTTGATTATTTTAAACTTTAGTAAATATGAAAATAAAAATATAACTTAGTGAATATTTATTTTAAAAATGTAGTGGTTTCTCCTCCTGATTAGAGAGTGAATTTGAACAAAGGTTCAACTGCGATAAACAGTGGACATTTTAAGACTTTCATACCCGAAGAATCGAACATTTTTTGGTTGGTTTCTTGGGGAAATACATACGCATTTACATGCGTACATATCTGCGCTTTAAAATCAATATCAAGAATACCCCATTGAAGGCCATGAAAGGCCACTTGCTCAATCTTGAAGGGCTACTCGATTCGAAAAGCTAAAAGTGCACAACTACACAGAAGGCAAGTGTTACATGTGATGAATCGATATCCCTGTTACAGATTATGCCTTTTCTTTTTCATTTCAAAGGGGATAAGCGAGGTCGAGCTGAAATATAATTTCAAAATTGACAAGAATTATTTATGAAATATAATGTTTGTAACATTTATGGAAATTATGACAATTTAACGATTGTGTAATTCTACTAATCTGTTACTTAAAGGTGTGATTATGAATTTTTCACTAAAACCCAGTCTCATATGTAGCAAAACTATGGAATAATATTTCATTT